AAGGTCTGACACTCTGGATATTAGATTAAAAATTGTTACTTGGAAAGAAACTGAAATTTCTGTGGAATAATTTCCACTTGAGCATAATTGTCCTTAGGAATAGAATAATTAATTGCTGACTGGAAAAGCTGCCTAATCTTGTCGTCATCAGCACTGCCTGGTCTGGTGCCTCCCAAGAACTGTAGGCGGGGAGTCAGAGGTATACCTGACGATAAAGGGTAAAGTTCAAGACTGATAATGGTATTTCAAAATCAAATTGATTAAAAATTTGCTTACCCGTGTTATTGCTACAGCAGAAGTAGCTAGGAGTATAGCTGGAGTAACAAGCAGGACTAACAGGTTGTCTGCGTGCGCAAAGGTGTTATTTGCAAGGGTGCATTGATTGTCCTGGGGAGTCCTGTGCTTGTACCACCTCAAAAACAGAATTAGAAACATGAGAAAAGAAAATTATCCATAAATTGGAGCAAAATTACTCCAAAAATTGACTACTTCCAAATTCAAACAAATACAGTATTATATTTATATCAAACAAACAACAACAATCTAATAGGGTTTGTAGGGGAAAAGAATGGAATGCCAATAGAACTTATCTTATGAGAGACATATGTGAGCAGGTGAAGAAGAATTGGTAGAGGCCCTCCTCTGACGAGTAAGGTATGATTAAAGCAAAGCACACTGTATAAACCCATCTGCAAACAAAGGGTAAAATGATCAACATCCAATTGGGGACTCAGAAGTCCTTAAAGGTGTAAACTGCAGAGTCCTTCCAGCCCACTGTGAGAAATACTTGTAAGGGTTACAGGAAAATTTTCCATGATGTGTGTTGTAACATATTACAATTTCAAATTGTTAAATTAAGTACCACATATTGACTTGTAATTCTTTATGGACAAGCAAGAATGGGCAGTTATAAATTTACAATGTTTTGTAAATCATAAATACAAAATATGTTGTAAATTTACGTACAAAGATATTTTTCACAGTGCTCTATGAAAGCAGGAGAGTTAGTCTCCTGATGAAAGGCACATGACAAGAAGAAGAGACAATATGAAGTAGTTGGATTTTGTGAGGATGGGTCCAGACATGTTCCTCCTCGATTTTAATTGTGAAATTGAGGATGCTTACAAACATATCCACCAAACCTACATGAAAAAACATGGACTCCCATATAAACATACCTATATATAGAGAAGAGACCTACGACACCTGAATGTGCTTCATAATGACAAGAAGTGAAGCTCTCTTCTTGACCAACTCTAATTCCTATTCTTCAGGGTGAAGTCCATCTGCATTTTTGCTGCTGAAAAATACTTGCATTATGTTGCTAAATTTTCAGCTGGACCAAATGCTCTGCTACCTTCTCCAACAGAAGATCAGGGGCATCACCAAGCAGGTGAGCAGCACAGAACACTGAACTCCAATTTGCAGATTCTTTACACACCACACTTAAAACATCAGATGTGAAAAGGAGGGACCTCCCCTTCCTCTCAGAAACTGACTGAGTTTAAAAAATAAGGTGATTAATAAAGAAAAGGGAAATTGATCCATAGTTGATGTAGATCACGAGAACTTCAGTGAGTGTACGGTGGGCGTACTCCACGCTCTTTGCAGTCCTGCTGCCTAAAGCTTGGGAGGCCAAACTTACCCTCATTTCACCCCTGCCCTTGGGATCAAAATATTTCCTTGTCAGCACAGACATTTTGCACAGTGAGTTATCCAGATTGGAATGATCTAGTATATGTCTCTCAACTTGGCTAATTTTCCACAACAATTAACAGATTAAATTCTAGTGGGCATATGATTCCGCACACTCTACATAAGGTGGGGAACTTCCCACACATGGCAAATTCTAGACTGATCCACACAATAGAGTACCAGATCTCCACTTTCTTCCCTTGACTCTTTGATGGTGCTACGATTTGTAGGTCTTTGGTCAGAAACTGAGGCAACCACAGTTAAGCCTATCTCTTCCACTTCTGACGACAGATTTGACGTACTTGTTGAGGATTGTGGACGGGCGAGTCTTACTCACTAAACCCAATTAGCATCTAATCCCAAGGCGTGGTCAGCAATCATCATCGAGACCATCTTCAAAACCATGCAATATAGCTTATAGGTGACCCCTCAAAAATATAATAACACACAATGTATCCTTTAAGCTAAGTTTTGAGACAATGTCCTTCAAAATTGAAAGACAGGGAGCAATTACACCTGGCTTAACACAAATCCTGGGGAGCAAAACTTTCAAACAACTTGCACTGGGCGGTGTTATGTATCTCCAAAGAAAGTGATAGGCTTTAGGGCTTCTTTTGTAAAATGACAACCAAAATATTTTATCGTCTAGGGTCCAGCTCCTCTCATAGGGGTTTTTCTTTAAATTTTGGAGTTCACCTTTAACAATTAATCTGGTATATATAAGTAAAATCAAGTAAATTCAAATTATCTCAGAGTTCAACTCAAACATGTTCTGGTCCATCTGTATCACTGTGAAGCCAACTCATAGAATGAACTTTCTATGTTACAGGTGGCCAGCTTCAAGTCCAGGCACATCCCTTTGGACAAGAACCAGCATCACTTCATATTTCACTACAACTGTACCAGACAAATGAAATAAATCACCGCATTACTGTAACTGACTCTCTGATGATTTGCCTCTCTCACTTCCCTCCACTAAAATCAACACACAACTACAAATTTTAGGATCAAGTAATAAGCGGTATATATGGAGGTAGCATAGAGACAGTAAAGATATGACAAGGAACCCCCTAATAGAAACAAATACCAAAATAAACTTTAACCCAACATGACTCTACTATAATGTATTGATATTTTTTGTTAACATTACATAAAAAGTCAAAACTTACCAGATTCATTCCTGTGATCATAAAAGGGTCCATTTTTCATGCTGTGTGCTGCGACGCCAACTCAGCATGACAGCTGACGGCTGCTTAGCTGATGTCAAGCGCAGATGCAACTAATAGACGGTCTTCCTGCAACAAGGGTAAAAACAGAATTTTAGTCCACATATATCAAGGTTACACCAACTCCTATCTGGACTCTACAGTTTTAGGGAGCTGGATAACATTAATCTACCATGCTTCAAAAGCATTGCCTAGGACAAACAATGTCAACTCAACATCAAATGTTCACAGGTGGAATATATAAATATTCATGCACTTTTCACTCTGTTTCCATATTATTTACTTTACATTTTTATCAATTATTCAAGGACTAAAGAGAAAAAGAGCATTCAGTTGGCAGTAACTAGAATATTTCTGCCAGTCTTAGAGCAGAATGAAGTGCAAAATCAACATGAGGAGATAAAAGAAAAATATGAACACATAATAATTAACATTATAGTAAGCATCTAAGCCTAAGCCGTGCACCATGAATCCTAATGCATGAAGGCATGGTCAGCAATCAAATGGGTTCGCTCATCATCAAGACCATAGTCTTCAAAACCATGCACTAATTTTAAATATCAAATATAGCTTGTAGGCGACCCCTCAAAAATATTTCATTAAATAATAACACACAATGTCTATCCTTTAAGCCAAGTTTTGACCCTATGTCCTTCAAAATTGAAAGACAGGGAGCAATTACACCTGGCTTACACAAATCCTGGGGGGCAAAACTTTCAAACAACTTTCACTGGGCAGTGTTATGTATCTCCAAAGAAAGTGATAGGCTTTAGGGCTTCTTTTGTAAAATGACAACCAAAATATTTTATCGTCTAGGGTCCAGCTCCTCTCATAGGGCTTTTTCTTTAAATTTTGGAGTTCACCTTTAACAATTAATCTGGTAGTTGCAGGTATGCTCAGATCTTCAACCAAATTTAATGTTTTAGAGTTGAATAATTTTCTGTACCTGGTAGACTTTTTTCCAGCTTTACTCAGGATTCTTTCTAACTTCTTTGTCACCTCTCTATACTCTAATGCTGTTTTTGCAACTTTGTCAACATCTTTGGTCATTTGAATAACACCTTACAATCTTGCAATCTCAGTCTTACTAATCCAACTCCTGGTCTCTTGCTCCAACAGACCGCATTGGATATGAAAATACAAAGTATATTCTAAAGCATGATGCAAATGATTTAAATAATATTTACTGTACCACAGAGACTGAGTGCACCAACGTCGAGGAGTGGATGGTGTAGGTAGAGTGCACCACAGCAGTTCGAGGTGAGGCTGAAGACAACATCTCGGCATCATCTGGATGACTTCTCTTCTCTGTTTAAAAGAAAAACTCTATAATTAAATCTTGAATTGACCATTTCACATTAATTAGTCACTCGAAACAATTAAATGATCAAACCTCCTTTATCAGGTTTCAAGGAGCGCCCAAGTCAAAATTACGTTAAAATGATAGCAAAGCGGTGTCATTTTGAACTTAAAAGTCAAAATCTAGTCCTCCCAGGTACGGACTTAACATCAAAGTGACCTGCAAAGACCCCTCTGACCCCGTTCTGATTTTGTTTTCTCAGTGGCAGCATGCACTGCTGCAGGAACAACAGCTTAATTTGTTGATCTGAGTCCAATGAAAGATTTCAATAAGAACAAACATTTCTTAAAATCAAGACAAAAACCTAAAGTACTCACCTGTCTGAGAAAGGAGTTGGGCCAATCTCTCAGATGTGTCCAAGGTATACACATACACGAAAATGGTGGACTGCTCGTGTCATAAGATTCTTAACTATTGTCTCCAAAACATTTTACCTCAAAATGACGAGGGCAAATGAATCTGTTTATAGAGTTAAAAGTACTTTTGAACTGCTCCAAATCCCCTACATTTAGAAGCCTGTCTAAAATTTAAAGACACAATAGAGAGAACGAGTGAGACGGGCGAGATGGTCGTGCATGCAGTGCAGGGGACTAACCCTGTGTCTAGCGAGGATCACTAATCCTCGCTAGCCTGCGTCCTGAGGGAAATGGAAAATGGCTTTCCCATTATCCCGAGGGTGAGCAAGTGTAACTGCATCCCGCGCATGTGCCCATCCAGCAAACACAAAATGTAACCAAGAAGACATACATACGGTACGCGGTCAGTCGGTTGGACGGCTGCTGTTTGTAAACATTGAACATTGAGGAGAACGCTCTACTTCCGTTCTCCCACCATCACCATCCCGCAGAGACATCTAGCGTGGCGTACTGGTTGCCTACCCCCCGGCGCCCACAGCCACAGCTCTCGTCGTATTGCTACAATCGTCACGATCACATGCAGCTTCATTCGAACCGACTAAAGACAATAGTCAAAAGTCCGCTCGGAAGTGCTGAAGCCCAACTCCCCCCCCCCCCGGGCCCAAAAATTCGAAATATGGGGGATTTCGCCCCTCAGCCCGCAGTCGGCGGCGACTTCTGTGATCGTAATGGGAACAGCCGCTTCCAACCACAGTTTGAAGGCAATCGACACGTGAGCGATGGGTTGCCTACTAATAAGGCGAACCACTAGATGGAAAGAGGGCCTCATTCGCCTGAATTTGCCCAGATCCAAGCACGTTTTGCAGGGGTGGAAGCAAGAGAAGTCCGACAACTACTGTGTACGAAATCACTTTCGTCAAAATATTTTTGGGACTGAATTTTGATGAGCAGCGGGTCGCTCGGTTTTCTTCCCCCTGAGTAGTATAATGACTACAGTTCATCTGGTTCCCTCGTCCGTTTCCATGGCCGTCCTCCGTCATGGCGAACGCGTTTGGCTCTCTCTCGGGTTCGCTACACCGGCACCTAAACCAACCCCCTAGCAGGTCATGGGGAATCCTGTGAGACGGGGGGGGGGGGGGGTGCATCAGCGGCATCAGCTAAGTGGCGGCCAGGCGCGCAGGGGTGGCGGCCGGTGGGGGAGGTAGCCCCGCCAACCCCCCGCCAACCCCGTTCAATTTCCCTAATGGACGCTAACAGCGCCCCCGTCGGCCCCTTCTCGCCGGGGGGTGTCTTGGCCCCTCCCCTCTCTCCCGGGGCACGCCCCCCCCCCCTCCCCTCTCCTAACGGCACGTCCAGTGTTTGCCTACAGGAGCATGGCGGGGTGCTTGGCCTTGTCACGGGCTGCCCAGGGCTGCCCCCGCGCGACCGTCGGGCAACCAGAGCGCGAGGCGAAACACGTCCAGAATGTGGACGCCGCGCGGGGACGATCTCAGGACGAGGTTCATCAGGCGGGCATGCATTTTCTGTGCAGCCTTCCTCACGGACGAAGAAAGTGAAGTGTATGGTGTCCAGGCTGAGACATGCCAGTACGTTAGGTTGCCTGTGCACAGGCTGCAGGGGGGGCAGTGGACTGCCTCTCCCTCACCACCCGTCCCGCGCCAGCAGCCCCTGCAGCCAGTGCGTGGGCAACCCAACGTACTGGCATGTCTTAGCCCGGACACCCGCAACAGATACATAGTGTTGAAATCTGAGGGAAATAAAAATTTAATTTCTGAGCAAACTGAGAGTTATCGATTCTCTGCGGTGGCGGTTCTTGGATTCTATTCAATTAAGTTTTGAGGGCATTCTTAGTTGGCGGTGGGAGGCTTCGGACAAGCCATCGCAGTGGGAGGGGGTAGGGGCCACAGGGAAGGCCACGGGGAGGGACACGGGGAGGGCCAGAGGACAGAGAAGGCCAAGGGGAGGACTACAGGCCACAAGGGGGGGCCACAGCGAACGCCGCGGGGAGGGCTGGCGGGACGGCGGCCGGCCGGCGGAGGGCGGCGCCTGGGGAGACTAATGGTGGTCGAGGAGGACTCCGCCGGGCCTTCCCCCGGGGTAGTGTCGGCCACCACCACCTGCGGACATTAACCAGCACCGCTATATATCACGGGGCGAGGTGACTGGAGCAGAAAGAGCGGGGGCGGGCACCACCGGAAAGAAGTAGTAAGGGGCGCGAAAACAGTGTATTCAAAAAATTCAAAAAAACTTGGCTATAAATTTAGTGATTGTCTATGAGAATAGAATCTTTTTGTTAACATATAAATGACTGAAGTACGGCAGTGTTTATAGGACTGGGGTAGGAGAAGTGAAAGTTATATCATGATGGCAACATCCCTGCTGCTTCAGTTTTATTTCAGAGCTATGCATATGACTTGTGCATCACACATAAGGTAAAATACTTTGTAAACATGCTTTGTCTTCACCCCTTACAATGAAAGTACATGTAAAACACAGGTTGAGATCATCACATATGCATTTTGATTTGTGTAGAAAGTACATACTGCACGTGTCACAATATAGACTCTCTTCATCATCCACTTTTTTGTCACCCATGATTCTTACACCTCAGTCATACGTTTGGGAACGCTGTCACACATATACGATACACGTAGATGGGCCTGGCTCGGAGCCTATATGGCACGCTCTAGGGCACTCGTGGTACGATCACTGGTACATTAAAGACTAACATATCCTCACATAGGATTTCATAAAAACTAAGTCATGCTGTATGAACTAACAGGACGGGGTAAGAGAGATATGTTACAGTTGGACGATGTAAAATTTTAAATAAAATCTAAACAGGTAAACATTTGTATTGACTTATTGTGGTAACTTCCTAAATTCCTACTAACTAGTAGAGAGACGATAAATAATGACATGCTGCCATTCTCAACATTTTTTTTTTGTTTTAAGTCATTAATCTACTTCACAGAAATTGATTTGCTGAGGTGAAAATATGAGTACACAAACGAAAACATTACAGTTTTTTTTTCTTTCTAAGTCACTTTAATATGCATGTTACTGAATCACATAAACTTGGACTATAAAACAAAGAAGGCATGGTGCAGATCCGAGGCAACGTGATATAGAAGACAGAACGGGAACCTATCTGTACTACATACACTAACTACGTCGTAAGTAGTTCTACCGAGTCCTACAGATTGTATCAAACTCGTTTGAACAACACGAACATAAAACATACATTTATTCGGAAACTTACTCGAGTACCATCCACTATCCCAGTTCGGTCCGAGTTTTCACAACCGCAAAAAAATACAACACAGCAACGTGAACGACTAGGAAGGAATATGGATCTGGGCACGGCGCCGCGAACTGGGGCATCGAAACCCCAAGTTCAATTTATTTCCTTTAATTTACGTAAATTGTACAAATTACGAATTCCATTTATCACAGTCTTCCTTGAAAAAAAAACAAAAAAACAACATTAAATCGCAAAGGGCGGAAGATTAAAAAGAAAGGCACCCCAGTGAAAAATGCGCAACACGAGCCGTGGATCAACTCCTCGCGACGAGCGAGTCAAAGTTTCAGATTTTTCACTGGGATGGTCGCCCAGTCGAGGTCCACTTCCGCGCAGGCGGCGCTATGGCACTTAAGTCTTTTGCGTTCGCCGGGGGCGGCCCGGGGGCGGCCCGGGGGCGGCCCGGGGGGCGGCCCGGGGCGCGTCCTCACGCGTTGGTGTGCCTCTTCATGTGCAGCGCCAGGTGGTCCGACCTGGAGAAGGAGCGGTCGCACAGCCGGCACTGGAAGGGCCGGTCGCCGGTGTGCTTGCGGTAGTGCCGGGTCAGCTCGTCGGAGCGCGCGAAGGTCCAGCCGCAGCCCTTCCAGCCGCACTGGTAGGGCTTCTCACCCGTGTGCGTGCGGAGGTGCGCCTTGAGGTGCGACGACTTGGTGTACGTCTTGCCGCAGCCCGGCTGCCCGCACGTGTGCGAGCTCAGCTTCTTGCGCCCGCCGGCGCGCCGCCCCTTGGGCTTGGGCGCCACCCCCGGCGCCGCCCCCGCGCCCGAGGCCTTCCGCCCCCGGCCCCGCGGCGCGGGGGTCGGCGCCGGCGCGTCCGCGCCGTCCGGAAGGAGCGCGGCCGGCGGCGGTGCCATGGGCGGCAGCAGCGGCGGCAGCAGCGTCGTCTTCCGCGCCGAGGCCGCCGACGACGACAGCAGGTCAGCGAGGTTGGGCGACGACGGCGGGGTCATCACCTTGGCGACGCACGACTGCAGCGGCGGCAGCTGCAGGTGCGTGGCCAGGATGGACATGGGCGCCTGCATCGGTGTCTGCTGCTGCGGGTGGTGCAGGGTCTGCATCGGCGGCAGCAGGGTGTCTGGGCTGGCCGGCGGTGACATCTGCCCGTGGCAGTACGCCACCTGCGGCACTTGGTGCACCTGGTGCACCTGGAACGACATGTCGGCCATGTCCGTGTGCACGATAGTCATCATGCCGCAGTACGTGGCGTCCTGGAGGCTGTCGTGCATGGCGTCCTGCTGCCCGCCGTCCTGCAGCCCCGGGTACGGCTCCAGCCTCAGCATGCCCATGTGCTCGTCCAGGGGGCTCGGGCTGGCCTCCATGCTGGCCTGGTACATGTATTGTTCGTCTTTAATCTGCTGCTGCTGCTGTTGCTGCTGTTGCTGCTGCTGCTGCTGCTGTTGCTGAGGCGGTGGTGGCGAGTAAAAACTACCCTGCTCGGTGGCGAAGTTGATGAGCATGTCCAGGTCGACAAACTCCTCGGCTTGGTAGGCGAGCGGGTCCTCGCCGTCCGGCACCAGGTAAGGGGGCGCCGGCGGCAGGGGCGGCGGCAGGCACTCCATGGCGCCGGAGTCCACGACCGAGTCCGCCGTCAGGGCCCCCGGCGGGGAGGCGGGCACCGGCACGCAGACGGGCGCGGCCTGCGGGGCGGCGGGCTGCCCCAGCAGCACGCTCTCGATGTCCTGCCACATCTGCAACACACAAGGACAGGGGACGGCGTCAGCTTAGGCTTAGCTTGAGGTCACCTAAAAACCGAAGGGGCCTTCCTTCACTCAAGAAAATCAGTGTACACCCTTAGAAAACATCACTTAAAAGTCATAAAAAATCATTTAAAAACCACAAAAAATTCATAGAAAAATCAGAAAAAATTTAACGAAAAGTCATAAAAAATCAGAAAAAATCAACTAAGAGTCAGAAAAAATCTAGAAAAACAGAAAAATCGTTGTACGCTAGAATTTATAGTGAAGGGCCCCTCTCCTAAAACTAACTTAGGTTACGTTGGAAGTCCTGCCACATCTGCAGCAGCACACAAGGACACAGGGCAGCGACAGCGACAGTCCCGACCGGGTTATAGGGCCGCGTTAGGGCAGGCCGGGGTCGGGTCCGGGCGGCTCGGTGGTGTGCCCCTGTTCGCCGGCCGGTCTTTCCTTGTCCGGGCCCGAGCCCTTGTCGGGGCAGCCGCGCGGACCTCTGGCGGGGCACTCTCCGGGGGGGTCGGGCCTAAGCGCCGTGACTGCCGGCTGCACGGGGTCAAATCATGGGGTAGCACTACACGGGGAAGCAGCCCTTTGGCACGTAGACAGCCCAATCGCACGTGGACGTGGACAGTCCACGGCACGGGCACGGCGACAGCTCATGGGGGCAGCCCTTTGAACAGGGCAACCGCATGAAACGGGGGCAGCCCCTGTCATTGGGGGCAGCCCCTGTCATGGAGGCAGCCCCTGTCATGGAGGCAGCCCATGTCATAGGGGGCAGCCCATGTCACGGGGGCAGAGCCCGTGGGCCCGCGCCGGCTCCACGGGGCCCGGCCCGGTCCACCGGCCCCGCGAGTTGCCCCGTGCGCTCGCACTTCCTTGTAGCCTGGCGGCCTTGCCGGGCCCCGCCCC